GAACAAAGTTAAATAGAAAAGGAGAAAGAGGGCAACCCTGACGAACACAGCACGAGCTGCATTACTCACAGCACACGGATCGCATGAACTGAGCCGCGAGTATCACACACACACACACACACACACACACACACGTACCAACATATCCACAATCAGTGAATGTTCTCGCGAGTAGAACATACGAACAATTGTCCGAACCAAACGCTCCAAACAGGCAGGGACTTCACTGGAGGACTTTTGTGCACCACGGGAATCCGGTACCGCATTCCGATGAGGAGTGGGACTGGGGTTGGGTCTTTTGGCCGGAATGTTTGCTGAGCTGTTTGGGAGTGGGACTGGGGTTGGGTCTTTTGGCCGGAATGTTTGCTGAGCTGTTTGCGGCGGTTGAAGGAGGAGGAGGACGTTTCCTCGAATCGGAATGCGGCTGTTGCGATCCATTCTCCGGGGCACTCACCTTAGAGAATTCACTACCTGTGGTAGATGCAGAAACAGCAGTCTGGGGTAGACTAAGCGATGCATTGGCGCCGGTTGCTGCCGTGGACATGCATACAGCTGAAAAGTATGATAAAGAATGGAACAACCGTAACTATGGTGATATTCAAGGATGACTGATGATGATGATAATGCGTGACACCCCGAGAACACATTCTACCCAAGCGACTAGGAACGATCAGAATAAGTAAAACACGGAAGTCAACGAATTTCAACAATTCGCGGAACAGAACACAGAAGTAAATAGTTGAATCACATCATGACTCGGGAAACCCCGAAATCGGTATACCAGAAGCTTAGATGGCGATTGATCTCCAAAGCACATTTTGCTTTACGCGGTTCACCTCTGCAAATAACCATTATTGTGAGATCAAATTGTTGAAAAAAGAAAGATTGCTTAACAAACTTCTTGATTATGACAACGACTGACCAATGAAACTAGGCGACAAATATAGACAGATATCCAGATCGAGAGACGCGGACTCGAATGATGAAGACTCATGGTTTAGAACTGTACCCTCCTTTTTCAGTTTGCAGTCATTTATATTCCACGGTCGTGAAATTGCTATCAACATATTTCATACATATCTCAATCCAGAATGTGTGCCGGAAAAAATCACAGTACAACAATCTTTATAACAAAGAAGTCCATGATTTGATAATGCGCGGAATACTGACAGCCTACCTAGAGCAACAGAGGTGAATTTGCTTGGGCAGTTCACAACCAGACGGTTCCGCCAGCTGAAGGACTGACTAACAATTCAGGGGAACTGTGTATAAAAACAGGAATCCATGAGGAGGGTGGGGGAGTGTTCAATGAATCAAATCATAAGCCCTTCGAAAGCGAACAACCGTCCAAAACCCACACACAGTTTGATGCCCAATCGAGCCAGAGACCAACGGCGTAACCAGAAAGGTGTGTGTGTAGTTGGTACGCCTCTTTTTCCCTACGGTGTCTTGCCAGGCCCGTTTGGTGAAGCGCCGGTGATTCAACGACCAGGTTATGATTCCGGATGTTGGCTTTTCGTCCTATCTCTCTGGAAAGAGAACACCGGGCTATAAAGTTTGCGTGCAGGGCTTCCGAAGCATGGGGTTTGTAAGATGCTTAGTCGCATAGAGGTACTTCGAATGGATTGTAATTGGCAAACATAAATAAGCAGATACGTACATGCAAACACACAAGGGTGCATACTATTCTATTCCAACAACACTCAAAGCGATACCTCAGTATTGTGGATCTGAGTCACAGTATTACTTGTCATTCGCAAAACAGAAAATTACTAGAAACAGTTTGACACTGCAACAAATAATGGAATGTGCTTCTTGAGTGTACCGTTGATTGGATAAACTGAGGATTATGCGTGAAGATAGAGTCTGAAGGATGATCAGTTCAAATCAAATACAGCAACGCTACGGTATGTGACTTACGACTCAGGTTAACAAACCACAAATTGAGTGAAATTGCCGATAATCCCACCTCACCACCTTGAGTCAACTTTTTTGCAAGTCCCTAAGATCGTGAGTTAGCCGACTTGCGTCACACCATCGGGGAATGTGAAGCTCAAAGCTTCAAGCCTTCACAATATGCGACATATCCGCAAAAGAGTACCATAGTTATGTCCGCTCATTGACAAGCGATATACTGAATCCCGAAATAGCACGTGAAGTGCTCAGAATCAGGCAGATAGCCCTTTTCGCTAACGTGGAAATTGGATTTATCGCAGATAATTTACCATAGAGAACTAATGCTGTTAGGTGCATCATAAGAAGCAGTAAAATTGCAAGCATTTTCCAAGCTCCTTCTCTGATCACGGGGGTGCAGTGGTAGCATTTGAAACAACAACAACAGCAGCAGCAGCAGCAGCAGCAACAACAACAACAACAAACAGACTGCACAATGGACGACGAAACAGCTTACACGAGGAGTGAATGCAAAACACCAGTGCACACGAAATTAGACCAGGATATTGAGTGTTGCGAATCACCCGTGTGACTAACGAATAGAATTATTATTATTATGCGTTGGTAACGTAGAAAGATGGCCTGTCTGAGCATTAGTGTGGTGAAAACGCAAAATAACACGTGAGACACTGGTATAATGAGGGGAAAGTTTCACTTTCCGCTTATACAAACATCACACATGTGGTTTCAGTCGCTGGATTTTGGTTGCCCATTTGGATGAAGGAGCAGGGCGAATGATGCAGTTTGAAAGACAGTGTGCTGGTAGGAATAAAGAATTCGGGTAAACTAACAGGAAGCGGGTTCACGTGTGGGAGAATACAGCTAAATAACTATATGAAAGTCAATAAAATGTTAAAATCTCTCTGACTTATACTTAAATTTGGATTCGCATCTCTTTGCGGAACCCAAGGGAAGAAGATGCAAGGCATTATTGAGTGCCTGGGTGCGAACCCAGAGCCAAGAAAACTACCTCAGATATTCTGTTCCGTTGGAAAAGTACTGAAAAATGACTAAGTTGCTTATTTTGGAATATTACGGTTGGTTTAGCGTACGGTACTTTTTCCAGACCCCAAGCACTATTGACGCCTCCGAAAGCCTCAGTATGATCGGAGTGGGTGTCTAGAGTTGTAGCTGGTCAACCCTCCCTTGCACCTCGCGAAATGCACCCGTACGACCAAGCATCTCAAACGACCTTCGCCGTGGAGGCCCTACTCATTGGCTTCTCGTGGGGCGGAGTTATTTCCCCATCAAAATGAGAGGACGAAAGGCCAACAGCCGGAGCTTTAACCGAGTCGTTGATCCACCGATGGTTCATCTAGGGGAGTTGGCCAAAAACTCTGATTCTAAACCAACCAAGAGGAGGCGTACGAACCACACACACACCCTTCCGGTTGTGGCAACAGTCACCGGCTCAATTGAGCATCGAAGTGTATTGAACACCTTGGACGTTTGACCCCGTCCGAAGGGCGTATGATCCGAAGAACTGGACACCGGCGTCCAATGGACTGCGGTTTTCACACCGCCCCATTGCCTTGCGGATCAGACTTTGGCTAACCAAAGACTCCGGTTGTGGATTTCGCAAGAAAATCCACCTGCTTTGGCTTGGGCAACCTGGCAGTACCGCACCCAATGTGATTTGTTTGGTACACAGTCTGAACTCAAAAGTGTTGACGGACCTGGGTGTAAGATTCGCCCCTTGGGAGTTCGTGGATTCACCGCATGTTGGGTGCAGCTGATTCGAAATGGCAGTGCCAGAAAAAGTTGAATCGGCCAAACCAAACACAATATTCTACTTCACATTCAGCTCGCAGTTGCTTGTGACTGAGTAGCAGCATCTCGGATACCTCAAGATAGTCAGATTCTAAAAGGCCGACATGGATAATTTTAGGTACAGCAGATACAATGAACGGAATAGTTATGGATCGCCACTATAGATTGATTCGGTAGCTTGAAACCGGCAGTGACATAAAGGACATTTCAACTTGGTCTTTTAGAATATGACTACCTTGGGGTCTCGCAGCTACTGACGCATCAATATGCACATAGGATGACGATACACTGTTCGCCAGTCGTAGCAGCGAACAACAGAAAATATGTGTATTGGGATGGTAAAGTTATTTTCCAAGGCTTAATTACACGATCTGGAATGTTACCTTCATTACCGAACCGAGTCTCATGAAAAGTGAGTTTCCTGGTGTTTCTCACGGTTTTCGGTCTTTCACGTACGCATTAGTTTTTACATTTAGTTAATTATCGCGTCAGTTTAATGTGGTTTACGTTCTGCAAAATGGGTTATGGGAACTGTCAGTTCGTAGATGTGACAATGTTACGGGATTTCAAACGAGTGCCCATTGACTTTTAAACGACAGGAAATCAACATATAACTCGCAATGTACGACCGTTAAACCCGGAGGAGAAGCTTAAATTCGACAATAACCTGATTATGTAGGTTTAAGGTGTGGCTGGATTCAATTCTGGCACTAACCAAAAAGGTCTTACGATGAAGTCGCGACTCGATAAATGTTTCCGTTGTGAGAGATTAGGAATACACCCGAAGGTGCAAAAAAGAGCCGATGTACCCTCCCCCACTGGTGAAGAAAACAGTATACAGTGCGAATACACGTACGAATCAGATAAAACAAATCCAACAACAACTGAACATACAATCTAGTTCCAACCAGACAGAAGAACGAGATAAGTTCACATCAGAAGAATTCATTTTGACAGAATCTATTTATTCGTTTGAAAGAAAGAAATGATGAATCAGAATACAAATAAGTGATAACGTATGAAAATGATGGGCGAGGGGAGGGGTGTTGAAGAGATCTGATGAGGAGAGAGGATGAGTTTCAACAGTAAGCGAAGTAATTTCGATGTTTCGGGAAAAGGCATGGAAGCGCGTGTTAGCGTTGCAACTGAGTCAGCCAGTCAACGAAGGTGTCTGAACCTCGCAAATATGGACACTATGGATGAAAGAATTTGGATTTGTAATCGTGTTCTGATTGGTTCGATTCTTACTAGGGAAAATGAAGAATCGGGAAGCTGGTTGGATCACACAGATGGTACATACATAGTCGCACGCGACTGGCATTGTCAATCTGAAGCTTCATCACTCGCTTCGTGTCCCAGTCGATGAGGAGCTGATGTTGTAGGCACTAGTTTATTGAATTCCTCGGGACGACTGGCCATCATCTGTCTTACAGTGTTGACTGCAGAACGTTTCCGTGGAAGTCGTTGTTCGGACGTTTGAGTGTTCGTGACTGGTGTACTCAATTTCAAGTAATCATGCTCTCCGGGCGGTACCGGGTTACAGGCCACACCACGATCCACTTGCTCACAAACTGCATTCACATATGCATTGAATTCTTCGGCCGCTTCCGCGTGTACCTGATGTCCGGCACCCTCTATGATCTGATGATACGAATAGACATAACACAGGATTGTAATTCAGCCAATAAAATGTTGGTTTGATAGTCACACACACACACACATACAAGAATCAGACCGGTTTGAGACTTGCTTGAGACCGAATTGATTCCGATTTCACCATCTGATACATGTTAGTGAATGGAAACATTTTACAGGCCCATCATTTATGCTTTCTAGGAGTGAAAAGTCACGGTCAACTACAGCCTTAAAGGACAGGTTCCCGTTCACTACACACAAACTTCAAGGGGAATTAGTGCTTAGGACAGTTCATTATCTGCTCATGGAATGAGACAGACCACAAAGTATGCTATGAGGTGACGAAAC